CTGTGCTTTAAAAAAATTAAATTAAAAAAATGCCAATCACTTTGTCTCACTCCACACAAAGCAAGGAAACAATCTGGTGCTTATTCTGCTTCTGATATTTTAAAAATGAAAAACAGCCAAGAGGTGTTTTAAATACATAAATAAAACCTCCCTAAATATGAATTTCTTAAAAAAAACAACAAAAGAACTTGCATAAATTTGGCAGCCTGACTTTGGGACTTTGTGTGTTGTGCTGACTTGGGTCATCTGGTAAGTTTCTTCTTTAGGGGACTGTGCAAGCCCAGATATAGAGCTGATTCAGGAGCTGCCTTAAATGTGTATTGAGACTTTTGACGATGTGATGCCGAAATTGAAAGACACCAACACGAGTGCTGCATGGCAGGATTGTGACTGGATCCTTAGAAGTCACCTTGGTGGGGGGAAAATTGTGATGTCTGGAAAAGGGAAATCTTGGCTGTTGCAAGTTTTAGAAGGAGACTGAGTATATATGGATGCAAGGAATAACAAGAAGGTACTGAAGGGCCTCTGGAGAAGCTTCTACCTGGAACTGTTGTCCCATCGCCATTCCATCAGAACAAGGCAGGAGATTCTAAGTCCAGATTAATCAAGGATTTGAATAAATACCCATCAGGAGATACTTTCCAACATGAAGAACAGAAGTGAAATAATTCCCAAGGGGAAGGTGAATTGCCTTTGTGTAAGCTTATGGGTGCTGAAATAATTAATGGTGCTCCTTGTTTTTGGCCAAAGGAAAGGGCTGAGCTTTGTATAAAGAGTGTCAGGCTCTTTGTTAGCTGGCTAAAGCCAAAAGTGTTTCTTTTCCAAGAACAGTTCTTTCAGAGTTCACTTTAGCAAGAAAGGGATGGAAATAGAAGAATTCCAGCAACTGAACTATTTCACATTTGGAATCAATTTAAATAGATGTACATTTATCCAGGGGGAGATTAGGTGGAAACTTCCTGGGAACCGTTAAGGAGGTGGATCTCTTCACTAAGAAATAAAATCACCAGACTGAGGATAGGAAGCAATTTAAGCATAAACCTGTGAATTTTGCTTTTAAATACCCATGTAAAAGTTCACACTGAAGCACTCTTTCAAATGGACATTTTTGAATTATGGGCTCGTCTTAGTGCATTTCTTTAAAATAATCATGTAATTTTGAATGCTTTTGGACTCAGAATTGAGTCCCAAAGAGGCTATGGATAGCTGAAGTTTAAACAGGACTTTGATCCAAAATGTTCATATTAGTTCATCTTTAAACTTACAAAAATTGAATGACTCCTCTTGCCTTTTGGTCTCTGTAAGGAGAAGATCTTGGTATCAAAACATTACACTGAGAGTTTTCTTTTCTCTGGAGATAGCGTGTTTGAATTCAGAGTAACTTCCCCAATTTCTTTGTTAAGGTTTTATAATTATGTCTTAGGCTGGAAGATTTGTTTGGTCTGCAGATGATTAGAACAGGGATACCCCCAGGTCAGGGAAGGTTTTGTGTGTGTGTTTTTTTAAAGTAGAATTAGTCTTAGCTTTGCATAAGGGATGAGTAGCAATAATAGGTTACACAAGGGAAAAATTAGCATTGCTCAAGGGGCAAAGAGCACTTGTTACATCAAAGGAAAAATTAGTCAGTGTACGAGTGGGAGATAATGTGTTTTGGACCTATAGATGAAGTAACTGATCTAACCATTGCACTCTTAGTATAACCAGCTCTGAACCAGAAGATATGACATACAAGCTGGATCTTTTTCCATGACGCAGTGAGCGCACAGAATTCATGTTACAAGGCCACTTCCTATGCCGTGGGGGAAATCCTAAGATACTGTGGACTAAGTAGCATTGTGATATGCACATTGTTGTCAAAGTCACAAGATTCAGGAGGAAATGCCAGCTTCAGACAGCCTTGTTCCTTCTATTTCCAGTGCTCGGGTGGTGTTTTTTTTTTTTTTTTTTATTTGTTTTTTGTTTTTTATCTGCGCTCAGTCATTACTGACTCTGCAGTGACTGCTTGGACGAGTCCTTGCAGTTTTCAAGGCAATTGTTTCGGAAGTGGTTTGCCAGAGCCTCCTTCCTAGAGCAGAGCCTAGCTGGCGCGCGCAGGAGGCGGGGTTTCCGTTGCTTCGCGCCCTTTTCAGGCGAGCACGGTTTCGCGCTTACCA